GGGTTTCCGAGGCTGTAAATCTTTACGGGAACAGAAAGCCTTATCTTTCTCCCGTGGAGCGGATGGCAGTTTCGAACTGCTGACCTTAAGGTTCGCAGCCTGATTCGTAGCCACTACACAACCAGAGCTCCTTAGTTATACTTTGAAATAACATCATAATAACTAGTTGCTCATGAAATGCAAGGGGGTAAATTCAAGAGAAATCTAAGGGCCATCATGTGCCCATGGACATTTTGGCTTGTACCCAAATAGTCCAAGGTAAGCACCAATGGTATAACATTTAACCTCCACTTTGACATTAGAACTGACACATCAGACACTTTCTGAAATCAAGGGAAGGATGTTGTTGTTGTTAAGTGCCGTCAAGTCGGTTCCGACCCATAGCAACCCTGTACAGGGTTTCCGAGGGTGTAAATCTTTACGGGAGTAGAAAGCCTCATCTTTCTCCCACGGAGCAGCTGGTAGTTTCGAACCACTGACCTTAAGGTACGCAGCCCGATTCGTAACCACTACGCTACCAGAGCTCTTGTATAGGAAGGATAGATACAGAAAATAAATAAATGGATATTAGGAAGAAGGTGACAATTCATAGGATTTAAAATCAATAAAAACTTAAAACCTGAGGAAGTCTTGTTGCTAATCTAAAGTTATTATGAAAGACTAAAGATAAATTAAAGCTGTCAACTTCTGGGTATCTATTGGAAAAGAAGAGAGTAGTGAAGGAAAACAAACTCAACCCACACCAAACTCACTACCATCGAGTCAATTTTGACTCATAGAGATCCTGTATCGAGTTTCAGAGGCAGCACGTTTTTATGGAAGCTGAAAGTCTTAACTTTCTCCCATGGAGTGACTGGTAGGTTGGAACTTCTGACTGTATCTTATAAAACTCTTAAAGAAACACAAGGGAGTAGTAAGTAAAAACAGGTAAAATTTTGCTCGGTTTATTTCTCGTACCAATGTTGATTTGAGAAGTCATTGTGACACAATGCTTTAGCCCTCCGTTGCTAACTGAAAGCTCATGGTTCAAACCCACCGGTTGTCCAGCAGAATAATGATAGGGTGCTCTGCTTCCCATTGTAAAAAATCGACAACCTTAGAAACCCTATGAGGCAGTTCTAAACTGCTCTATAGAGTTACTATGAGATGGAATCGATTCGTTGGTTTGGTTTGGTTGGGTTCTTCTAGTTTGATTATTGTTTGTTTAAAACTCACTTTCAAATTTATTTTCAAAAAATCCAGAGGCAGAAGACAGTTAAATAAAACATCCTGAAACATTCAATCTATACATAAGCTACACAAGTGAGGGTGGGTCTTCTTTTAACATTGTTGTCAAGTTCCATTGAGTCCGTTCCGACCCATAGCAGCCCCCTATAGAGTTTCCGAGGAGCAGCTGGTGACCTTGAACTGCCGACCTTGTGGTTCAAGCTGACATTACAATCCAGCACATTAACCCACAGCATCACACCAGGACTAGGTATTCTTAAATAAGTTCAGTTTTGGCCCCACTTAGGTAGCAGTAAACTTTCTGCTAATCCTTAGTCATAAACTAATAGTATTGACAAAGGCATTAAACAAAAACAATAAAAATAGTCAGGAAGCACAGAGAAAAGAATGCCATGCTAGCCCATCTTAGTTTGCAGGAAAAGGTATTAAAATACCAACAATACAAAATAGACTTGAACAACGACTTTTTTTAAAGGGTGGGAGAAAATGTTCCCAGACTTCAGAAGATAAGTGTCCTAGAGGTTTCATTGATTAGTTGATACGTTTGCTGGTGAGTGATTAGTCGATTAGTCAGAAAGGTTTGAATTAGTTGCTGGAGCTCTGCCTCCCATGAATAAAATGCAGGGAGTGTTCTCTCTCCCACCCTCTGTGACAGATGATATCTGTTTTCTCCTGTGACTTTGAATTTAAGAGCCACTGAAGCTCAGCAACAGTATATTCTGGCTCAAATGAGCTGAAAATTGCATTCAATTTGAATTTCAAAAATGGAGGTGAGGAAGGGGGGAAAAAACCTTCTTTACCCATCAAGACTCCACACTTTTCAACTCCTTCCTGCTGCTTAGTTGCATTCTGCAGGGCTGGGGACCTGAAACCCAGGATGTGAAGCAGGGGAAAGAGGATAGCTGGATTCCTGCCCAGTCTGAGTTTAAAAATAAACTTTTAGTAGTCAGGATCAAAGCAAACCTCACTTTTACGCAAATGCATAATGCAGAATACGACCCAAGAAAGAAGTAGATTTATCTTTTCCAAACTCAAATTGGCCCGTCTTTTCTTTTCTTTTTTTTTTTTTTTTCATCTTGTGTACTTTGGAGGTGATAAAGGTGAAGGTGTTTTCCCTGGACAATTCTAGAAAACCAAATTATTTCCTAAATTAAAATGACTTCCTATTCAGCTCACTTAAGACTCTCACTCCTGAATGCTCCTTTACTTCCCTTTCATCTGCCTCCCATTATACAGTAGATGTGTTCTTGAAAAGTTGAATGAGTGGACATTGATTTTTCAAATCAAATCATATTTTAAATGCTGTAAGAGATTTGGATATTTAAATAAATCTTGTGATGCTTTATAAAACCAAGCTATTTTTAGAACCGCAAATAATTGCCCCCTTTTGCACGGGCATAGTACGCATGAGTTTGGAAATATGTCCAAGTTTTCTTTTTTAAAATCGATATGCCATTTTATTTTGTTGTTGCTGAGAACATGCACATCAAAACATACACCAACTGTTGTTGTTGTAGTGCCATCAAATCGATTCCGACCCATAGTGACCCTGTATAGGGTTTCCGAGGAGCAGCTGGTGAGCTTGAACTGCAGACCTTGCAGTTCAAATGGCTTTGCAGTCTGGCGCATTTACCCACAGCACCACACCAGGACTCCTACTAAACATGTATCATATGGTGACATTGTTTACCGTCTTTGAGTTATGTAATCATTCTCACCCTCCTTTTCAGAATTGTTTCTCCTCAGTAACATATATTCAATGTCTCTCAAGGTTTCTATCTAGTCTTTCAAGTTGTGATTGTCAATTTGATCTCATATAACTAATTCTTAAAAGAGTTTAATAGTCAAGTCAGCCCTGTTTTGCTAGTTAAATTAAACAACTGTTTGGCATTGAGAAGACTTCAGAGGATATTTTCGGATTTAGGTTTAGAAATTATCTCATGGTGATAGTTTCAGGGGTCCATTTAACCTTCAGGCCTCCAGGAAGTCCGGAGTCCAGGAGAATTTGTAATCCTGTTCTGTATTTACCTTCCTTTTGATCAGGACTCTTTTATGGAATCTTTGATCAAAATATTTATTAATGGTAGCTGGGCACCAGACAGCTCTATGGCTGAATGGCAAAGGAGGCAGCTGTCCCTGAAGGCAATAAGCCTTCCATTTTTGACCCTCTTTTTTTCTTCTATTGTTAAAATAGAATAATTTTTACAAGTTTTTATGACTTCAGGAATTACACACTGAACTAGAAGGTAGAACATAGACACTAGAAATATTATTAGGCCAATTAACTGGGATGTCCTTTGGACATTCAAACCTCCCAAGGCCCTAAACCACTCAAACCAAGAAACCAAAATCCATAAGGCATTTAGTTGCATATAATCAGCATCAACAGGTATTCCTTGTGTGTGTGTGTGTGTGTGTGTGTGATTGTTATAAATGTATCTACCACACAACTGTTAACAAGTCAACATTTTACAAATGCACAACTTATTAATAACAATTACAATAATCCTACCCTTAATCGATACAATTATCATTGCCACTAACCCCGTCTCTCCTTCCAAGTTTTCCTAAAGTAAGGTACACCTGTATAGTTTATAAGGAACACACGTTCAAGTGTCACCAAGAAGTAAATGTAGATGGATGCTACATGGAACAGCAGATGAAACCTCAGAATCATGGCACTGAATGATAATTAACTAGCGTTCCATTTCATGGTAGTTTGAACTAAAGATGCAACAAGAACTTCAACGCATTTCAAATATGGAAACACATTCTCCCACTGCCTAATTATCCTCCATTTGCAAATTTAGCAGCTTGGGTGCCATGAAAGAGGCAATTCAACTTCTAAAGTATCATTTCCCATATTGAAGCTAGAAACTGCTGACTGCTGTTCAGGAAAACTGACTTACTCCAGAGGGTTCAATACCACACGGGATTGAGCAGGCATGATCAGCAGTGAGTAGGTAGCACCTACTATGCTAATGGAGGAACTAACCATTTAGGGCAGGGGTTCTTCACCTTTTTGGAGTTACGAATGTATTTGAAAGTCTAATGGATGCTCAGACCCTCTCCACTAAAAGAAGCCCTCCTTGGTATGATCTACCCATGACAATCATTGTGAGGGGGGGTCCATGAACCCAACTGAAGGTCCAGTAGATCGACTGAGTAGTAGTTCATAGTAATCTGGAAGAGTAGGCATTAAATGATTTTATTTTCAAACTGGAGTGAAGGAACTTCAGAATCTAGAAACTCTTGGAAATATTTGGTCATGCAATTGGTAACTAATGGCATAGGAAGCACTTTTAATACATTTGTAGAGGGCAGAATCAGAAAGACAGGACTTCTTGTTTGAAGTAATGGAAAAGACATGTTTTACTTCTCTATGCATCACCAAAAGATGAGAATGAAGAAATACACTGTCTGACCCCTATACTCCTGGCTTACTGGCCAATATAGTGAATCAATAGAAACAAGGATAAAATGATACAAAAGAAACCACAGGATCACTGCAACACACACCCTCAGAATAGTCCCATTTGTCAGAATGCTTGATATAATACAACACTTTAGAAGCATAAATATAACCTTTTTTTTTTGCTTTTTAAAGACAGAATGTAGAGATAATAGGAGACTTCTCACTGACGTTGTTAACGAAATACTTGACAAGAACAGATGTCAAGAGGCCACTTAAACCAGTAATATGTATCACTTGACATTGTGTTATGTTGACTTAAAAATAAGATTAATATCCACTAATCTAGAAAACAGCTTACCTTTCAAACTGCAACAATGTTAGCGTAGGGTTTGTTTCCTTACATCTTCATACTTTTGTATTGTTTCATTGATGAACCAGTAAATTGCCAGCGCTATTCATTTATGTGACGTAAGCAAGAATCCAACCCCAGAAAAAAAGAAAAGCAAAGAAAAGAGTGAGGTCAATTTTCTTGGCCGCTGCATTTAATAAAATCTCCCAGCAATCGAGTTAAGCACACATTAATAGCTCTGACTGAATATGCTCTGCTTTAGCAAGTCTTTGATTTTCCTATATATAAACTCAGGGCTGTATTAATACTTAAAATAAGGTACAGTCTTCATTTCTTATTTTAAGTTTTCTTCCTCCTCAGCTTTATCAGATTTATTAATCTTCCGCTCCTCTCTTATTTATAGCAAATGCTCTGGTTAGAGTTTCAAAGCATTTTCCATTATAACACCCATTTATAACTTTCAGAAAAAAAAATTTTTATTTTCCCATCAGAGGTACCAAGGGGACATGTTACTTATTTAACATTATTCTCAAAATATATGCATTTTTCCAAATAAGTGGGCTTTGTTTCTTATTCCTATGATCTTCATGAAAGATGAAAGGAACAGGTAGATGAACAGGTTTTCTGATTGGGAAAAGTTACCACTTCTATTTTAAATAACTCTGTGGTGGGTGGGTTTTAACAAAATGTGTTCAGTAAAACATTGTTTCAGGGAGAATGTCTTTCAAAGAAAGCTATAAGTTTGAACCTCATGAAATTGATGATATTCAACAAGTTTAAGCCTAAAAAAAAAGGCAATTCCTCATGATGAAACTAGTATTCCTCTTTTCCCTCCTGTTAAGGCACTGAAGTTCTGATAGCATAGTGCTTAGGAGTTGGGCTGCTAACCTCAAGGTCAGCAGTTTGAAACTACCAGCCATTCTGCAGGAAAAAGATGGGGCTTTTTTTTTTTTATTTTTTTATTTAATGTTTTATTGTGAATTATGTGATAGTTTACAAGGGAGAACATTAGTTTTACATTTATCCTATCGTATATCATTTCATTGCCATGGTTACAATCCCTTCCATGTATCATCAACCAACCAGAGGGTATATACTACAAGCCTGCCTCCTGGTCATCAGCACACAGCCCCTCTCCCTCTCTGGGTCTAAAGTCCCTAGCTGCTCCATCTCTCCATGTCATCGTCTCTGCCTCCATCTCAGGCATCACTGCTTCTCTGGGTAGGGTCCTGCTCTCCGCTCTTCTCCCTTGATAGTCCTAGGGACCTCCGCTCCTAGACTGAAAAGTTAATCACTCCCCTCCTTGCTACAAAACATCTACCTTTACATTTCTGACCCTCACAATCAGTCCTGATAACAATTATTCACTATTGTAGCACAAGAGATCTATCCACATTTCCTTTCATCAGCCCCGCCTAGACAGATGGATACTACTCAGTGGAGATTCTACCTTCCACCACACTCTCTGGATCTAGGTTCCCTCTTGAAAGCTTGTAAGCAAGTCACTTATTGCCTTTTGTAGCCCAAGATGGGGCTTTTTGCTCCTGTAAAGATTTACAGTCTTGGAAACCCTATGCAAGGTCACTATGAGTTGGAACTGACTCCATAGCACACCACCACCAAGAACAAAAAGATTCCTCAGATATTGAAGAGTAGCTCTGTGCTGGACTGGTAGCTCAGGGAAATGCAAAGCAAGAAGAAGGCTGTGGCCAAATGACAACAGAAACAAGCCCCCCCTCCCCCCAACTCCAACAGGTTGTTTGGAACACACTCTGATGCCTTTTATTAAGCACAAAATGTGGTAAAACTAATTAGTCATGTGGCACCAGGCCATTTTCCATCACATCCCTTGAGGCATGAATGTGGTAACTGTAGAACACTTCAAAGAGATTCCTGTATTGTGATGAAAAGATTCTCAGAGGGGCCTCCAAATCAGAATCACTAAAGACACCCTTCAAATCAGTAGCTGCCCAGCCCCCTTTCTTTACCTTAAAAGTAAAATACTAAACAATTAAACAAGTTTGAGGTTCCAACTTCCCTTCTATAAAAAGCCATTGGAATCATTCTTTGATCATCTTCTATAAGGCTGATGAGAACTATTTGGGTAACAGAAAACTAAGAAAATTATTTGGGTAATAATTTTAACAAAAGTTATTGTATAGAGTAAAAGCTAAAGATCAACTAAGTTCACAGTCCAATATGGCTTCCAGAAGAGACTGGAGTCTAATAGGACGTACACTTAGAGGAAACTGGAAAAGAGTCAAGAAAGGAGGGTGCTTTGCATATAAATATTGTTGTTGTTGTTATGTGTCATCGAGTCGGTTCCGACCCATAGCGACCCTGTATAGGGTTTCCGAGGGTGTAAATCTTTACGGGAGTAGAAAGCCTCATCTTTCTCCGGCGGAGCAGCTGGTAGTTTCGGACCGCTGACCTTAAAGGTTCACAGCCCGATTCGTAACCACTACGCTACCAGAGCTCCTTTTGCATATAAAATATAGGAGATTTTTATTTACTTCTGTTAAAAGTGAAAAAGGACAAGATGACTCCAATGTGAGAATCCAACCTATCTCCTTTCTAGGATTGTAAACATAGGAAGCATGTTTAAAAGCTGTGACTTGTGTAAGTATAACATTAGGAGCCCATCCAGTTGGCACTATAGGGTAAGTAGACTGATGTACTTAATTTATACTGCTACATTTTTTTCCCTTTATTTTTAAAGAAAGCATAGGCCTCAACAAGTGAAAAGGAAGAATTTGAATACACAAAAATACTTCAGCTACTGACTTAATCAGTCACTGATTAATAAGTAGGAAACCCTATAAAAAGGGTGCTATGAATCAGAACCCACTGGATGACACATAACAAGTGATTTAATCACTTGATTGAGGTTGTTGTTAGCATTACTGTTAACATTACTGTAATCCATGTAATTCCACCAGTGACTGGCCAATGTGAATGTAATTTACAAGTTAATTAATTTTATTTTTTTAAACAACTTTTAAATATGTAAATTGTCAAATTCCATCTCTGAAATCTATGAAAATTTGAAATACTGTTAATATTGCAATGGTTGTTTTGGGGTCTAGTTTTCCTTTTGATCCCACACATACAATTCAATGTGGAAGCATCTTCCTTGGAGTAGACTATACAGATGGGTGAAGTCCTGGGATACATTCATTGTAGGATAAACATTGGACCACAAGGTCAGTTTAAACTATAAGGTCATCGGTTCAAAATCACCAGGCACTCCTTGGAAACCCTATATGGAGTATCTGCTTTGATGTTGTTGTTGTTGTTAAGTGCTGTCAAGTCGATTCTGACCCACAGTGACCCTGTATAGAGTTTTCAAGGAGCAGCTGGTGAGCTTGAACCACTGACCTTGCAGTTCAAACACTAGTGCAGTCTGATGCATTAGCCCACAACACCACACCAAGACTCCGGGGTTTCTATGAGTAGAACCCAACTCAATAGCACTTAACAACAACATACATAATGGGTGGTTCTCAGGTCATCCATCAGTAAGCTGTGGGATCTGTTTTTGGAGACTTGGGGAGAAACAATTATTGTCACTAAAATCTCTTTCAGTAATTCATAAGACTTTTAAGGATTGGTTGCAAGGGGAGAAAAGATGAATGCTTAGTGCCTCTTTAATTCCTTATGAAAGCATTTGAAATGTTCTGAACCCAAAAGTACATGAGTAAGGTGACTTATGGGGAATTGTTGTTGTTGTTAAGTGCCGTCAACTTGGTGTTGACCCATAGCGACCCTGAATAGGGTTTCCAGGGAGCAGCTGGTGAACTTGAACTACCGACCTTGCAATTCAAACAGCTTTGCAGTCTGGCACATTATCCCATAGCACCACACCAGGACTCCTTATGGGGAATTGGATTTGGGGTCTTGCAATTTGGGAGTCTTCTGGGGAAGGGGTGAAAAATGAGTTTGCTCTTCAGCTGCTCTCCTGTTATTTCAGTTTCGGCATATTTATCTATACCCATCTCATGCACTGTCCCATTCCATGTTCAAGGATAGAAGAAGACAATGGAGTATTGGGAAGGTATGTATAATCAGTTTCTGTTCTATGTTCTCTTCCTTCTATAAAATTCAAGATACATTTCCCCAGATCAGTTCTGTATTAAATAGTGATAACCAATCCAAGTGGAAGACTTTTATATTCAACACTACAGGTAAATACTGAACAATAAGAAATAGGGCTGATGTAAACCTTCAATACAGACACTTGAAGTACACAAGAGTAAAATACAATAAAAGGAAATACGATTGTAATATATATACAATCCTATAATAAAAATAATAACAAACAATATCTATGAGAAGATATAAAGGTAGACATGCAGCCTGAAGAGATGTATGAAGGCAAATGGGAGTAAACCATGAGTATATGTATATATGTTTGACAGAGGATATTTCTACATATGCATTTATACGTACTGCAGACATATCCAAAAATATTGTAGAGCACACAGGGAGCAAAGTTCTGAAAACCTCACAGCCATAACCAAGCACTTTGAAGGACTGAGTCACTGGGCTTGGGCTTGGAGACTTAGGACCAGAATGTTGGGGGACATCTAGGTCTACTGGCTTAACATAATCCAAAAAGACAATGCTCTTAAAAACTTGTAAGTTGCCATCTAAGATGCAGCTATTGGTCACTCCCTGTTCAGAGGAAAGAGTCATGAAAATAGAAGACCCATGGAAAACTAGTCTACATGAACATCAGTCTCTGTGACTCTGAGACCAGAAGAACTAGATGGTGTCTGGTTACCACTACTGACTGCTCTGACAGGGTCACAATGGAAAGTTCTGGGCATAAAAGAAGAAGTAGGACAAAATTCAAAATAATAAAAAAAAAAAAAAGAAGAAGAGAGAGAAATTGGTGAAACTCAGGACTAGCCCTTAGGCACACTTCAAGTCTGGAACTGACCCCATCCCCAAGGACCAAGGTACAGCCGAACAATAGATAGATCTATAAAATTAATAATAACACCAAGGAGGAAAATTCTTTAAAGCAATCAACCATATGAGACAAAAAGGGCAGAATTCACCTCTAAACGAAGCTCTGAATACCAGACAGGACAAGAACT